AAAACAATTCTATCTGAATTTAGCGGCTAAAAGTAGTGCTCATTTTGATCGTTTTTGCATAAAACTATCCTAAATTAGTTACCTTTCGACAAAAGAAGATAAATTCAATTAGAAAATTGTTTTAAAGCTAATTTTTTATACCCTGTTTTAAATATAATTATTCTGCCCTTAAATATAATAGTTTTCCACATAAATATAATATATCAATATGTGAGTTTATATATAGTAAATGATGAGCGAGCGTCGCTCCGTCAATCTGTATATATGGTACATGTAAAAGTCTCTTAGTTTTTAAGCTATCGACCTGAAATTTCGCACACATTCTTTCCTCCCCAAGAAGCTGCTCATTGTCGGAACCGTTGATATCCGATCATTATAACATATAGCTGCCATACAAACTGACCGATCAAAATCAAGTTCTTATATGGAAAACTTTTTTATTTCACAAGATATATTCATGACATTTGATATCATATATATTCCGAGGCAGCGCTAAAATCTCCGAAGAAATTCTTCATATCGGACCACTATAGCATATAGCTGCCATACAAACTGACCGATCAAAATCAAGTTCTTGTATGGAATCTATTGTTGGTACTACTTTTACTTACGAAAATATATTTTAATGTGAACATCCACTATACCAATATCCATTCATTTCACACCAGTCCGCTGATAGTTACGAAATCAGTTGTGCTAGTGGTAACGGCAATCGATTGGCGATGGCTCACGTGTTACCAACACCAACTAGCTGGTGATGTTGTTTGGGGAAAAAGGTGAAATTTTAGCATGTATGGTGAATTGTTGAAAACCTGCTCGCCCAAACATTCTTCAAATTTTTTTACTCTTCACCGAATTCACCACGAATTTATGCATTAACGAATTTCTGACGTTAAAGCTTGTTTATCTATTATAACTAACTGCCTTTGTACGGCCAAGTCAATTCTTACTTAGCCAAAGGTGAACTCGTTTTGTTACACAAATCCACACAGTGCTTATGTGGTATGCTTAGGTATGTGTACATATATGTGTGTAGTTATGTATGTAAGTAAGATAAACGTTTCATATATTTAACTAATGCGATTCTGGGTGTTGAATGTGTGTGTGTGTGTGTTTGTGAAATTGTTTTTCGACTTCGGAAATCGCAATAACTCAATGAAGTAATGCGCAGGTGGACTAGTTTGGCTTCTATATACATATATACAGCACATATGTAAATATATATGCATATATACAGAACATGCCTTGAAAATCTAGCCATATTATTGATTGATGCTTTGTTTCTTAGCAATTAATTTATTTATTTTAAGTAATTTGTGAGTATTTTTGTTTGCAAAATAAAATTTATATAAATTTGAAATGTTTTATGATTTCTCTACGCTACCGTAAACTATCACAAATAATGAGGAAATTTTTTAAATATTTTATTAATTAAAATCTTTGTGAAAAAGTCTTTTAAAAGTACTGTGTTTCTTCTTTTTTTTTTGCTTTTATTAACGTAGAATATGTGGTATATTAAGTTAAAGGGATCATGCTCAAATTATTCCATTTCTGAACTTATGAAACGATTTCTTCAAATAACCAACATTTCAAAGAAAATTGAAAATTCTCCTCTATGATTTTTTATTCTCTCCAAAAATTTTTTGCGACAGAAAAGTATTCAAAAACTGTACTCTTTCGATAAAAGCAAAGATTAAAAATCTAAAAATATATACATATATAAAAACGGAATATATGCAATATAATTCTTGGGAAATTTGTTTTAAATAAATGCGAAAATTTGTTTATATTAAAGTTAAGTCGTTTTCTACTAAAATCGTACTATTTTCTGCTCACTGAACGCAAAAGAGAAGTACTTAAATATATGGCACTCTTTAGACATTTAGCCGTGAAGGACTGATCTCTGAACTTTCGCCTTCACACTCAAGCCGAAAAAGCGGAAAATTATTGTAAATCGGCTCAATGCAAACTGAATCTTCGTTGGTCATCGTAATTTGATTTTGGAATTTCGTTAAAAATAGTTCGATTTGATTGACTTGTTTTGCAGTGTTTCTTTAAAAATTATGAGCTTTACGAATGCCATCTAATTTTTTTTTTTTTAGGAAAACCACCCATTACTAACGTTGAAAGCTACACACTACATTTCTTTGATTTGTTAGAAATGTATATTCTGGATTTAAGGATTTCTGCCTCCATTGTCTCTGAAAACCAAAATTTTAAGAAATATTTAATCAATATCTCAAACGAAGCTGTCTGCGGCGGGGAAAAGTTACACACAACTACAAAAGAGTATAGAAGAAAAACCTATTTAGATAAATGCTCACCCTAACCTAATAATCTTTACAAAGCAAATTGGCACAACTGGCTGTGTTTATACATACTTTATAGTTATATACTCGTGTGTAAACTAAAAAGTGATTAAGGAAGACCTTACAGTCAATCAATTTATGGCGCCATCTATGGGATTTTCATAAGAAAAGTGAAGTGAAATATCTGAGGTTCTATTTCAAGTAGGGGATCCCCTCTAGCTGCAATTAGAACCTAAATATACCTTACATTTAGATACTTATTTCAAAAAACTTCCTAAGTTAGAGATTTGTGTGAGGAAAAGAAAGAGTTAAGCATCTTTATGTTGAAAGAGCGCTTTTTTCAACGACAAATGAGCTAATTCTGCAATCCAACGTGGAAATGGCGCAATTATTCGGCATAATAGAGTTCTATGTCAATTTTGTCGTTGTCCAAGTCGATGTAGATCACATCCTGTGAATTCCAAAAAACGTTGGTGTGTAGCGTTGGTCTCCAGCCGTTAGAACAAGCATAGCCTTCTTCGAAGTAGAGTCGCCGTGAGAACTCCACTGTTACTTTTTTCTATGTGGTACGTATCAGTGGAATCATGATTTGTCGACGGTAACGTGACGACGTAGAAACTCCTTTGGATTACGGCAACCATTAAGCAGACAGCTTACTCATGTCTAACATTTTATATAGGTATGGCCCACGCAGTCTTCTGAAAAGCCTACTATCACAGTTAAACCACTTTTTGACGGTTGCCATCGAAAAATAATATAAAACAGCCAAGTTCTTTTTAATAGTTGTGGTAGTGGCGCCTTTGGACAGTAAGGCTAAGTAATAATCGGACCGATTTCGTAAGGCAACAATCGCTCATCTCTATTAGAACCAAAATTTTCGATTCGCGGTCATGCTTTTGAGAATGTAGACAGCAGACGCCCACACATTACGATGCGCGAATTGAAGAATTACTTAGTTGGGACGAAGACAACAGGTGTTGCAACAAAACTACTTTATATCTACTTATGTATATGTGCATATAAATATATATGTTAGCTAAGCTTAGAATTCATTGATATAAACAAAGAAAGCTTTTCACCACATCTTTTACGCCAAGTGATAGTGTAACTATGTATTAGTGAACAGAAATTCAACAAAGAGTATACTTGAGTTAAAAGCTTGGGGGTTTGCGCTTGCGAACAGTAGTCGCCAACAAAACAGATACAGAACGCTAGTACATATCAAAATTTTATAAATATGGTATATCAGCTTAGAGATCCTTTTAGGCAATAAAAACATCGGAAATCGAACCTCCAGTTAAATTTATGTAACGATGCTTAAAATTCTACATAACTTAAGAAACTGGAGTACATCTCAAAAAATATTAATGACAATTGAGCTTGAGCGATTCTATTCAAGTATATATAATATTTTACTCGAGCTGGACTGCGGTGTTATTTCAAATTTTGGAACTTTAATCACGGTTTTAACCTTCCATGTTATTTTCTCATGAAACGAGAGAAAACCAACCGCAATAAAATAACACAAATTTTCATTTCAAGCTGCAGCGGTGACCCTACTTGATATAAAAATGGCATTCAACAACGCTTTGCCGGCAGCAGTCCTCAGGGCTATGAATAGGTTTGGAGTTGAATCGAACCTTAAGCATCTCATCTGAAAACTGCTCTGCGATAGAACGATCGTAGCGGAATGGGGTAGTACGCGGTCACAACGGAATGTGCACCTCACAATGATTGTCAAGCATCTTCTGATAAAGCTTGTGGATGCCGGCTGCCGGGTGATTACCTCCAACTGAATTCAGTCTGATCTACTGCTACGGGGGCAGCCTCCTTCAGAGTGGTAACTATCCACTCCGATTACTATCGGAGCGTTATTAACTTGAGCCCGCTGACTGGTTGTTAAAGACTAGTAAAGGGATGTCCTTATCGCTAGCATCGTCTTATTATATGATTAGACTGGTTTGAGTGCCTGGCCACAGCGTTATTGCAGGAAACTGTAACGCCGATGAGCTTGCTAGGACATCTACTTCAGCCTCAATAACTGCGGAATGGAAACGAGTAGTTACTAGGTTGGCACTTGTGGTTGACTAGTGAACTGTTGAACAAAGTAAATCGTAATAGGTCTAGTGAACTCTTCGCTCCCAACAAAGTCCACCTTTCACTGATTGTAGAAATTCTAACTGTATACTGTCCGATGGTGATTAATGCGGCATCGTCTCAATAATTCCTCCTTGAATGTCGCGCTTTTACCTGATCAAGGCAAAAACACCTCGGATCTCATACTTTTAGACATCCAGGTGAAATAGCGGAAAGAGAAAAAAACGCCTAAGCAGTTTTGTAATATGTTCAGTGCATTTTGCCGATATCCAACTACAGGTGTTCTTCTTGAGGGATTAGCCATCTCACCTAACCTAACCTACCTTAAAGCTATGGCATCTCCTATCTAAAAATGGTCAAAATCGTACTATAATTTTTCAAGTATATTCTAAAACTTTTCAAGACCCCAGATACCAAATATGGGAAGTATTGCGAACTATGTACCGAACATATGTAGTGTGACTCGAAATAGAGTAAAATCGGTTCAATGCTTCTCCACATTGCCTATTTTACCGATTTTCGAACTTCCAGTTGATTTTATACCTTATATAACACATTAGTTAACACAGATAGAATTTTTATGAAAATCAGCAATTCGTTAAAACAATTAAAACCTTATTTTATTTTTTAAATATATACATATGTATATATGCCGTTTTTTGTACGACGATTTACAAATTTGATTTAGAGTCCAAACACCAGCGAGTTCAGCGCCTCCACTGTGAGATTTATGTACCTAAGCAATAGAAGAGCATATACTTGTAGTAGATGCTTATGGATATAGATAATTATAATAATATTTAACTTACGCTTCCTCATCAATTATCGCGTATTTCTTGAGTTTTATTGTAAGGTACAATAACACCTGATTATAGTTTTTCGTATCCATGTGTGCATAAAGCAACATCTTCTTTAAATTACCTCTCCTCAACCCTTCATAAGGGTTCTTGGGATAAATTTGGCTGACAAGCCGTTTGTGGCGCGCTTTGAATATATTTCGCATCTAAAATTTGGAGTGCTGAACTTGAATTACGAAGACATCGAATTTGACTGAACGCAAAGCGCGTAACGGTAAGCGCTGTAAGCTCTGTTGACGCGTTTGGCGTAAGGAAGCCTTAATAACCGAACATTGCCTACACATTAGAATACGAGAGCAGTCCAATAAGTCAATTTAATAAATCACAAGAAAAATTTGTATGCCCCCAACAGGGTATATTAAATTTGCCACGAAGTTTGTAACACCCAGAAGGAAACTTGGAAGCCCCTACAAAATGTATATATACATAATCAGCATGATGAGCTGTGGTGATTTAGCAGATTTCGGTTAGTTTGTATGACAACTAACATATATGCTATAGTAGTTCGATCTGGAAAATTTACAAAGGGGTTATTGACCCCATAAATTGTAAACAAAAGGTTCATTGATCCCATAAAAAGTAAACAAAAGGATGATTGACCCCAGATGTAAACAAAGTTTGTTGTCCTGGCTAAATATAAGCAAAGTTTATTGACTTGGATAAATGTAAACAAAAATGTTATTGACCCCAGATATAAACAAAGGTTGTGGACTTGGCTAAACGTAAGCAAAGGGTACATTGACCTCATGTAAACAATGGTTGTGGACTTGGATAAATGTAAACAAAAGTGTCATTGACCTCATAAAATGTAAACAAAAATGTCATTGACCTAAATGTAAATAAAGGTTGTTGACTTGACTAAAGGTGAACGAATGGGTCATTGACTTCATAAAATGTAAACAAAGGTTGTAAATGTAAACAAAAGGTTAATTGACCCTTAGGATGTAAACAAAGTTCTTTCTTTTCCAAGAAACTGATTATTACTGATCAGTTAAAATCAAGCCTTTGTATGTACTTTTAAATTTGACAAGATATCTTCACGCAAAAGGCAACACTACAATTTTCTAATATATAATTTCACAGCAGTTTGAACGCAATCCGTAGAAGTTTTTGGTTCGTTCACTGATACGCATAAGACCAAGGAACAGTGTGAACATTAGACTTCACCTGGCGAGCCTGCTCCGAAGAAAGCGAAAGTTGTCCTCTCGGCCGAAAGGTGATTGTCGCCAATTTCTGGAATTCACAAGGTGCCTTATCTACATACACTACCTGGAGAAGAAAAAAACGGTCAGAAGACATTACTATGCCGAATAATTGGGCCCGCCCGCCAAAAGTCACTCGCCAGACAGCAATTTAAGTCGAAAGACAAGATTATCGCCGCCACGAAGAAAGTGGATCTGTGCTTCATGCAAAACGTATTTTTAAAGCTGACTTTTTGAAGCATATCTGCATCAATTGTATCGAGTTAAAAAATTATATATCGAGAAATAAATAGGAATTCTTTAAAAAATTTTGTTTTACATATTCTAGAAATAAGTAGTCGAACCACCCTCGTATAATAGCGAATGTGAAAAATTGTACAACCATGGCACATAGCGATAACCACATATGTATATACGTCAAATCAGTTTTCAATGCCGTTTTATGTTCCAGAGCTCGTTCACATACCAGAACACAACAAATAATATTTATTTTAAGAAGTTTTTTTTTGTATCAAATATACACTCAGAGTTTTACCATTGCCTTCCAAGTGTCGACCACTGTCAGTGAAAATATTGTGATTATCGGTCGATCACCACATACAAGTTTATTATTTAAAAGTGTTGGATTTCATCTTATTTGATGATATATAAATCTAAGGGAGAGTTAAGTTTTTGTGAAACCGAAAATTATATACTTTCACAAATTAGTGAAGGCATACATATATAATATAAGTATATCAAAAGCTCTAACTAAAGTCGTTTATTTAAGCGAAAAAGTCCATTAAATAGATTAAGTGGGCTATGGATTTCAATTTGCATCCAAAAGTGTCATTTGCTGTAATCGGATATGCCTCAGTAAATATTCGAACATTTTTAATCAAATTTTACAGTTTGAAAATGGTCAAAATCGGACTAGTACCACGCCTATTTCGCACAAAACAAAATTTTAAAATGCGTTGAGGAAGTATATAGGTAAAATAAGCACCTATGAATAAAGAAATCAGAACAGAACTTTTCAAATATAGTGACACCGAGGGATGCTTTGTCACATCTAAAAAGGGTAAAAATCGGAACATAACTTTGCAAGCCCTCATATAATGAATACGTGTAACCTATGTCTGAATTTTAACGAAAATATCGGTCAATCTGTGAGGTATAATGCTTAAATTCAGAGAGTTTCTTTTCCTGATAAAAATCTGTCCTTGTGTAGAAATGGATAAAATCGGGCCTACATATGCCTAATGTAAGGATTTTGGAACCTCTGGTTGACTTTATTCCGTATATATCGGTACATGTGCGTGATATATTTTTCTTAGCAGTAACGAGTCTTGGTGCCAAAAATATATAAAATCGGACATTACCCTAGCCTATATAAAAACTTTCAACCTTCCGATAAACTGCTAAACTTAGGTAGACACTGAGGACTTCCTTTGTTTACTTTGCTTCGTCGTATCCTTTCTATTTAGTAGATATAGTCGAAGTTATAGAAATAATCATGCCCATCTAGCTCAGAGGTTTACTGGGTAAGTACCGATGACAAACATATTCGTATTCATGGTATATACCATTTATATGCGTATGCTCACATGTTACCAGCTGATTTGCAGAGCTTTTACCATATCACCTCCAGAGCTTTTGTTATAGAAGCCGAAGCCTTAACAATTAACTCAGAGCTTTGGTACAAACTGCACTTAGGCGTTCAGTCGTTATTGTGTGTCGTGAAAAATCGGTAATCCACCCCAACAAAAAAGCGATATAAAGTGAGAAATTATTGTAGAAATTTGTTAATTGCTAACGGTTTATTGCAAAAGTGACGCTTGTCACTTCAAATGTTTTTTGCATTGTTATTTCACCTGTGTATGTAACTGTGAGAGGGGGTGGCAGTGAAGTGAATAAAAATGTGTATTTTACAGTTAGGATATTTGAGAATTTAAGAAAGTGCCAGCAAAACAAAAGCAATTACATAAATAACAAATATTTTAAGGTGACCGGCATAAAATTGGACCAACTAATGTGCAAAGTTCGTCAAATTTGGAGAATTCGTAGAAATTAAATTATATGAAGATTATTTGTGAATTGAGCGAAGGTGGCTGGGGCAGTTATTGACCGGTTTGAAAATACTTACAGTTTCTCAATAGCTCAACAATTCTTTTGCTGTTATCCATTGTAAAATTAAACAAACGATGAAGCTTCTTACTATGAAGATAGGCAAAGACCTAGAGAAGAGAGAAAAATAGACCGAAATTATTCATTTCTGTTACTAAATCTTTCTACAATCACTTAACTACTTTGTGCTATTTAAAGATCTCACTTATAAACTATTTCAAAGACAACAATACAAATATTACCATCTGATCAAATTTGACCCGCACTGACAAAAAACTACATCTTTCTTAAATCTTTAAAATAGGCTGTTTCCGTCTCTTGTAGAATGTTTTTGCATAATGTAAAAAAATATTCTTAATTTCAGAAAAATCAATTATCATTAATTTTAGCACATCTTAAAGACTATACCGGGCATCTGTTCCGGCTCGTGAAAGGTGAAACGAATGGCGCTAATACGCTGCTGTTTCGAACCAGTTGAATTACCAGAATTTTTCGACACTTTTGTACAGAAATGTACGGATCCAACATGTAAGTATATTACCAAAAAATTATTTTTGTAAACTGCAACAAAAATAATCGTTTCACATTTTTTTGGGGTATATACTATAGTAATAAAATAAATATATTTCTCTAGATATTTCTAAACTTACCAGTTTTTTTTTTTTTTAATTTTACTTTCTCGTAATTTTCGTAATCTTTGACACACTCGTTGATTTTTTGTGAAATTAAAATACGAAATATGTGCCAATTTATAAATTGGATTATACCGGCAACGCTTAATTGTGGATAGTAATTCGTCATACATTTTACCAGCTGATTCGCCTTGATTTATCGAATAAACATTATAATATGTTGAAATTGTAAATTTGTGAAGTTAGCTTAGGAAAATACACTTGTAAATACAGTGATTTTGCGTGTTTTATTTAGAAAAAATATATATTGCAACTTTAAAAACACAATGCCTGGTAAGTAATCTTATTACATTCTGCTGGTATGCAAATTTTAAAATTAAAAAGAAAAGATAAAAAAGATTTCGCATTACTCATGCAGATTGTGAGAAAACATTTTCAGAGCAAAAACAAGCATCTACCGACTATACATACGTCCGTTCCCACGACAGTCGGGTCTACCTAACCGGAATAGACCCGGATTTTTAACCGGCAGAGGATGGTTAATTTCACACCAATCCTCTAAATTACACAGACATATTTTCAGCCGCTACAACAACAACAGCTAACCATACGTGTTGCTAATGTTATGTTGTTTACATGCGCGTACACATTTGTGAATTTATTCGATCCGTTTCAACATCCAAACGAAAAAAGAAAAACCGTTTTCAAAGCCAGCCTCAGTATATTATGCTCTTACATATGTATGCCGACATTTAAAATAGTTCGCTGCACTATTTAGCTGACTCCGGTTACTGATAATAAAATTTGTTGAGAAAAATTTACTGTATTTTCTTGCACTTTTCGTTCAATCATGGTTTTTACTTTTTTTCTTCAGGTTGCTGTGGTTGTTGCTCAGCGCTACGCCCGCGCTACAAACGGCTGGTGGATAATATATTTCCTGTAAATCCTGAAGATGGACTTGTCAAATCTGACATGGAGAAGTTAACATTCTACTCTCTAAGATTCCCAGATAAACTAGATCGTATTGGTGAATATCTGTATCAAAAAGCTAGTAAGGACATAAATCGCAAGCGTTACAAGTTAGTATTTCAAAAATAAGAGGAGTTATGTTTTATTAAAAGTTATTAAAATTTTTACCCAAACAGATTTGTAGAAATTGCCATGGAGGCCATGGATTTACTGCTGCAAGCTTGTCATGCACAGACTACATTGAACTTGTTCGTTGAGTCTTTTTTGCGTATGGTACAAAAGTTATTGGAAGACACTTACCCCAATCTACAAATTATGGCCACCAATTCGGTAAGATAAGAAACAAATACTAGTTTAGTTTAGTGGTAGCACCACGCTGATATTTTATAGTCTAACCGACATTGCCTTCAGGGTGTTACAAACAGTACAAACTAAATATACCCCGTTCAAAGTATTAATTTAATACTAATAGCTGTAAAATTGTGCTTTCATAGCTGTTAAGTCTGAACCAATAGTTAATTCTTTTGTACACAATACTTAGAAAGAAAAGAATATTAAGAAATAGAAATGAGGCGTGGGGAGTTGTTTGACATTTTCGTATATTTAATACAAGAACGCTTTAAAAATTAGAGCGCTGCATATTGTAATAATGCATTTTAATTATTTTACAGTTCGTAAAGTTCGCAAATATTAACGAGGACACACCTTCGTACCATCGGCGTTATGATTTCTTTATATCAAAATTCTCCGCTATGTGTCACGGCAACCACGATAATATTGAATTGCGCGATAGTATACGCCTAGCTGGTATTAAAGGTTTGCAGGGTGTCATACGAAAGACTGTCTCCGATGATTTGGTTGAGAACATATGGGACAAAGTGCATATGGAAAAAATTGTACCGTCATTGCTGTTCAACATGCAGGTAAGTTTATTACAAACAGTTGTTTAAGGGAGCATACTTTTTCGATTATGTTTTTAATATGTTTTAATGAAAATGTTGTTTTTTTAATTTCGAAAATTACATGCCGCTGAAAAAGTTTTGCGTGAACGTTTTATTTGTGAAGAAAAGTTTAATTGCGGTAAAATTTATTTTGTTATTATGCAACATGTGATTTCTACTTTAAGATTTAGTTTGTGATTGTTTAAATAGCAAAAAGAAAAAAAAACAAAAACAATATGCATAACAAGTAATAATTATATAATATTTGCATTAATTTGGTAATATTTCTTTAGTCCGGCGATTTAACACCCGTTGAAGACGCCACACACGTCACACCACCAGTACTAGCCGAAGAAGTGCTACGCGAACTCGTTGGACGTGCATCTTTCGGCCATATACGCAGTGTTTTGAAGCCACTGCTTACGTAAGTAAATACCGTAAAATTTTATAAATAGATTGTAAACAAAATATTTTATCTACCAACAGCCATTTGGACCGCCACGAATTGTGGGTGCCAAACACATTCGCCATACACTCCTTTCGCATTGTAATGATCTCCATACAGCCGCAGTATTCATATACAGTTGTGGAGACTTTAATGCAACATTTGGACAACAATTTCAAGTCATCGCCGAAGACACGCACATCTTTGGCTGTTGTACTATCCAAGATAATAGCGATCGCTGCTGGCGAAAGTGTCGGTCCCTCTGCATTGGACATTATCAATAATTTGCTAACACACTTGCGTACTAGCGTCAGCACCACCACAGAAATTACCAACGAGGAATCGCAATATCAAGAGGCACTCATTAATGCGCTTGGCGAATTCGCTAATCATCATCCCGATTATCAAAAAATCGAAATCATGCTATTCATTATGAATACGGTGCCCGATTTGTCGAAGAAAAGCAAAGGCGATCAAATGTTGCAGAATATACTTTTGAAATCGCTACTGAAAGTTGGTACACAATACAGCACCGTTTCATTCGAAAAAGCCTTCCCGGCATCTTTCTTACAACCGTTACTGAAGATGGCACGCGCACCACATGATCCGACACGTGTCATCGTTATGCAGATCTTCCAGGCCCTACTAGATCGCCATCAAAACGAAAAAGTGCTCAGTCACCTGACCGTGAAGCCTTACGCAGCTTTGTCGCAGGAGCCACCATCGCGCTCGGACATCATATTCACACATAAATATGGCGCAAATATAATGCAGGCTCTCATCGACAGTATGGCTCTGTCGGATCGTGTTGAATCGCTTGCATCCAGCTACAATACGGCAGCTTTGCTTATTGTCGAAATGGCTTGTGGCGAGACCGTGCAAGAATTCTTGCTCTTCATTTTGGGGTGTGTACATATGTATAAGGTTGGAAATTCTGACGGCATACATTTATTCGATTTCGCCATGACCGTCTGTATATCTGTATATAATCACTCAGCTTTTGAGTTATCGTATTGAAATTTGGCACACGTGCTTTTCTTCCTAAGAAGCTGCTCATTTGTCGGAATCGCCGTTATCGGTCCTCTAAAGCATATAGCTGTCATACAAACTGATTGATAAAAAGCAAGTGCTTGTATGGAAAACTTTTTTATATGTCAAGTTATCTTCACGAAATTTGGCATAGATTATAGTTCGGGGCAACGCTACAATCTTCGAACAAATTGTTCAGATCGGACCACTATAGCATATAGCTGCCATATAAACTAATTGATAAAAATCAAGTGCTTGTATGAAAAACTTTTTTATTTGGCAAATTATTTTTACGAAATTTGGCATAGATTATTATTCGAAGCTACGCTACAATCCCCGTACAATTTTTTTTAGATCGGACCACTATGTCATATAGCTGTCATACAAACTAAACGATAAAAATCATTTTAAAGATCGTTTTATACCCTTTTATGCTATAAGAAATGCGCCTATGAAGTGTATTATAGTTTTTGTGCAGCCAAAGTTAATGTTTTGTTGTTTTTTTTTTGTAATCTGCAGCATTCAACAGGTCGCTCTCACCGCTGATTTGGAATTAGAAGTAGTGCATAAATGCAATTTACATTGTATTGCCATCGCTTTGTTGTCTTTGATTTCGCGCGTTACCGGCGTAAATAACTTGCTTGAATATGCGCAGAAAATAATCGATGCACGAAAAGAGGAGGCACCATATTTTCTGCCACCCTTATTGGATCCCAAAAAGACGGGTACTACGAAAATGAATCTAAACCTACCCCACCTGAGCATCGATAAAATCGCGCTGGCCGAAAGTCTACAAAATGCCGGCATGGACTCGAATCGCTTGCAGACCGGCACGCCATATGCGCTGAATCAAACCGACAATCCAGCCCACCGTCACTCCTGGGTCGACACTGTTAGCAATCCACAGTTGGCGCAGCGCAATAGTTCCGCAGATTTGACGGCATACAATGCCGACGGCGATAGCGTTACAAGTTCACCAGGCGTCTCTAAGGTTTAAACAAAAAAAAAAAACTGAAAGATAGTCAGCGTTTGTTATTTAAATAATATGAATTACATTTACAGAAAATTCTTGCGCCCGAATACAATTTTGAGGCCATGAAACGTGCATTGGCTGAACCCTCCGAGGCGATGAAACGCGAACAGCGCGAAAAGCAGTTGCAAATAGTACGCACATTTCGTGAGGGCAACTTTGAGGATTTGGTGCGGTGCACAGAGCCAAAAGTGAGCGTTTTAAAAAATATATATTTAACTGCAATATTTAATTTGAAATTTCTGTATTCGTAGCATGATCTTATACAAAATCGCCTAAATGATCTGTTTAACTCGCTGGCCGTAGAGCGTCAGATAACACAAAGCGACATTAAAACGCAGCAGCTGCAAGCAGAAAAACCGATTTACGAGACGAACTTTCCCGAATTGTTCTATTATTAATTTATGACAAGCATGTATATATATACTTGTATTATATATATCCATATTATATAATATTATGTCCATTATAACGATTTACTCGCATAGCGATTTGCTAATAATTAACGCTGGGTGCGTTAAAATGCTCCCATGATATATTTAATATGTCTTCTCGCTTGCAAAAATGTTTAAAACAAATAAGTGTTCAATATAGTTGTTGCAATATACAGTTAACCCTTTTTAATGCTTTTAATTGTTAATCAAGTTTGTAATAGTATTGGCATAGTTTAGTTATTGATACTATTTGCTTATATTATATACTCGTATAGTATATCGTATTGTATATTTATTTTGGCATTAACTAATTATGAATAGTTATTATTTTATTGCTTGTAGTTATAAAAAATTTTGCGGAATTATATTGGAGTATGAGAAATTTGGTAAACCACATAAAATTCGTTTGATTTTGGAAACATAACTTGAAAACATTTATTAAAAAATATATTACGCTGAATACTACCGAACCGAAGTGCAACTCAAACCTTTTTGGCTAGTTTTTTTTGTACAGTTGTTGTTATGAAAAACATACCTACTGTAATTTGTTGGAATGCTACCGAGTTGACGATTCTGAGCCGAAAAGACATTCGGGTACATTCCAGTTATACGTAGACCCTACTGTCCTGGGAACGGTGTTTCTGTATGCTCATTGCAAACATGGGTAGCTCATGGTGAGTCAAATTAACAGAAACATTTGCTGTTCGCCACTGCAATTGTATAAAAGTAAACAACTACCTGTCCAACTTGCCTAGCCTTCGCATTATGCTTGGAAGTTACGCTTTTCTATATTAAATCCACCATTTTTATCAACTGCACTAGGTTGTACCACTCAATATGGTATACTCTTTACAACTCAACTTAGATTCAGTTGAAATTAAGCGTTTATTGATGACAAGTCAAGCTGCCAAACCCTTTTAAATTGAATTGTTGTCGTTTTTACGATATTAGTATTTACGATACTTGCAGTACTTAACGAAAATTTAGTTTACAGCAAGAAAAAACGTAAACTTCAGCTGCAGTATAATACCTTTCACGGGTGCATTTCTTATAGCATAAAAGGTATAAAAAAGAACTTTTTTTTTGATCGGCCAATTTATATGGCAGCTATATGTAATAGTGGTTCGATTTCAACAATTTGTTTGGAGATTGTTGTGTTGCCTCGGACAATAATCTATGCCAAATTTCGTTAA